CCACTAAAATTCTACATCAAAAAGTCGAATGGAAAAAATATGTTTAGTGACCGCAGGGCATACCCTCAATCATATGGCTACAGGCCCGACGTAGCCAGAAATGACCTTCAAATCAATTTCGGGATGATGTCCCAACCGACATTTTCAAGCACTTTTCATAAAAATATCCAAAAATTATGCCTTCTGGCTACGCCGATGGCTAAAGAGGGTATACTATACAATTTAACACGGCCAAAACGTCCTCATCGAAATAAAAATTTTAAACTCTAGGCATCTATAAATGTCGTTCGAAACCAATTTGGGTGGTGGCAAAATAGACAAAAAACGAGATCTTAAGCAATATTCCCTGCAAATACCTAAAATTTACTACAGAGGATTAACTGTTTCATTTGATACGGTCAACACGTGCCTCATCAAAAAAACGGTTTTACGCCCTAGGTGTCTTTGGACCAAATCCGTTTCAGGATATTTGGACTCGATCTAGGGGTGTCCGTTTGTCTGCCTGACCTGACCGGCTGGTGTGCATGATAACTGTCCAAAAGAGGTGTTCGATTTCTTCCACACTTGGTACGTTGTATATCGGTTCACTCTTTCTGGTACCTCCCCCACAAAAGGTAAAAATGTTCACATAAAAAATGTACTTTATATGACAAGAAAGGATCCCAATATTTTTATTAGTATAAGGTAAGGTGCGATAATGGACAATATCAAAGCACTCCATGAATAGGAATAAGAGTCCTATTATCTTCACATTTGACATATCTTAAAAATTTAATTTACACCTGATCCAGTTTGAAGATGGTAGATACCGGCCCGTTCCCTCTGGTACGTCCCCCATAAATGGGGTCAACATTTTGAATAACCAAAACGCTCGTAAAAATAGGAAATAAGCATCTAATCACTTTCAAATTTGGCACATCTCAACACTTGAACTAACAAAAGATTAGCTGTGAAGAAGAAATATATCGAACTACTTCTCTTGGTACCTTCCCCATTAAGAGGTAACAATTTTTAATAATTATAGCTCAAATAAAATACGAAATAAGCATTAGATTCTATTTAAGTTTCACACTGCTCAATATTTCTACTAACATAAGATCCAGTGCTAAGATGGCAGATATGGGCTCTTTTTTACCTTCCACACAAAATTTTGAATTATCAAAAAGCTCACAAAATGCAAAATAAGCTTCCGATTTCATTTAAATTTCACACATCGTAATAGCACAGCGATTCTATTTAAACTTGGTGAATTTGAAATTGATAAAGGTATTCATAAAAAAGAACGTTTCGATTTCTTAATCTCCTTCTTCGCATATCCCAGTATTTTTATAAGTTTTAGATGAAGTGGAATACATTGGCCCGCTTTATCTGGTAACTTAAACATATATCAACATTTTCCAAAAATTATCACATATTTGAAATAAAATGAAGGAAGTAGTCGATTGAGTCCAAATCCGTCACGTTGTAATATTTATGTCAGGTCAGATATAAAATGGACTTCCCATATTCAACATATTGAAATATCATAACAAGTCGAAATATCTTTAAATATAGGGACAGTCTGTACAACTGTCGGTAAAACCGCCTAATACATCTTAAATTGTTGCTATCTAATTCGCTAATTTTAACTAGAATTCCAAAAATATTTTCAAAATATCTTAAAGAATAACAATTTAAACATTTGTGTCTGCAATTCATTTTACGTAACATCTTACGACCATTTAATATCAATATTCAGCATATAGGGGTGCGTATACTTTATGTTATGGTAATCAAAGTGGGAAATACGACAATGATCATACGCCACCAAGCACAAAAAAGCTAAATATACTGAGGCACGATGGCAAACTGTTCGTGAGAAAACGAAGAGAACATAAAACAACACAGATTGATCGATTATCACTTCAGTCTCTGCTGAACAATGATTTTACACACCATGACCATGGGGAGAGCGAGAGTTACTCTCAATTTTGTCGTTGTGTGAGAGTGGAGCAATGGTTTTACACACCATGACCATGGGGAGAGCGAGAGTTACTCTCAAATACTTTGTTTTGCAAATGTGAAAGCAATTGTATATGTATGGTATACACAATTGTATATGGAATATAGTATAGAAATAAAATTTGTTTCACATTTCGATATGATCCAAATCTGCTAAATCCCAATTAGATTTCCGTCTAAAAACTAAAGAACATTTCAAAAGGCGTCTTTAAAAATTTTTATTTTTATTATTTTTATTTTTTTTTTTTGAAAATTAAATTTTTTGTCTCCTTATTTTTTTTGTCACCTCTCTGACCTACTTCACATTCGATTTGCATATTTTATGACAAATCAATGCCTTATCTCTTTATATCACTATCTCCCCAAAGTGCCACAAGTACTTGCCCATCAAATGCAGCCACATCATTATATTTCATGTGCATTGTAAATCTCTTTTTGTTACGAGACATTTATTACACATTTCATTAAATGATAGCATCATCTATATATTGTGGCTATCACAACTATGAAATAAAAAAAAAAAAAAAAAAAAAAAAAAAAACTAAAATCGAAATACACAAGCTGGTCACCAACACATGCCTCGTAATATGTGGGTAACAACAGTAGTGTTTTGCCAACAACTATGAAATCCAAACAATGCAGTTTGAAACGTCAACGACTCCTTGACATCTGACCATATTTTATAAACATAAATTTTGTAGATAAAACCTCTCATAAACATATATAAGGCCAGCATAACGCTCGCCATATTTACATATGGCTGGCTGTCAATGCAATATGGACAATAATGCACTGAAGAGAGAAAAGAAAAACGAACGAACTATGATATTTATGAAAATGGTTGGCCACTTAAGTCCTTGACCTCTTTCGAGATGCATATTGATTGGCTGCTTATTACATATTGTCCATGGTTTATGGCTTTAGGCAAGTTTACACATCATGTGGAAGTCACATGCATAAGGGAAATTTTAAATTTGTTTATAATTAGTGTTTTAATGGCATACTTTTAAGCGTTCCCCACAATTTGGTAACTTCAAAAAAACACTTTTTACTATAATATTCAATATTATATATATCACCTATGTAGCGCTTCTGCAATTGAGGAGAACGCCTAAAATTGTGCTAAGATTAATATTTGTTAAGAATTTCCTTTCAGAAATCTCAAGAAAAATGAATCAACTTATTTTTCTTTAAAATTTCATGAGGTACACATATAAGAAGGATATACATTAGGAAATTCAATATAAAAATCAATCAATTTTTTCTCCATTTCTAAGGAATTTTTAATTTAAGCCATAAGTTTTTGTTTTTGCTTTGAATATCCAAAATAAAATTTTAAAATTTCACAAGTGTTGGAAGCTCTGGAAGTTCACTCATTGTCCTATACTTTTACCATAATTATCATCTTGACATTCTCAATTAAGAACATTTCCAATTAAATAGCATACCATCTTTGCAACGACAACAACATATTCTTGTTGTCCAATTGTTGCTGTTATTGTCTTGTGTAAATTTAGGGGAATTTTCCAACATTGTGGCGCAAGAATTTTGTGGCCAACCAAATTTAAAATCTTACAAAACTCAATTTCGGCTAAGATGTTTGAGGTTGTGTTCAGGCAAGTGTATAATTTGCCAAATATGTTATAATGTTAATAGAGTTTTCATTAATTTATTGAAAACGACAAAACATTTTAATTAAATTATATCTGCGATAAATTATTAACGCCTTAAAGTATGCCACAATAAACTGAATATGAGATGGCAAAATACAAAATAAAGTTAAAGTACACTGAAAAAAAAAAATAGAAGGAAAACTTATGAATTTCTTCGACTAAAGTCAAATTAAAGACAAATGGGGTTTCTTGTCTTGTCATATCTTTCAATACTCAACTCGGATTTAAATTTTTGAGGTTGTGTTACGGCATTAATAGAGTTTTATTTATTTATTTATTATTTTTTTTTTTTTTGAAAGCAAGAGAATATTTCAATGAAAATACTTCCTTGCTAAATTATTGACGCCTTAAAGTATGCTACATCAGACATAGAGTAAGATGAAAATGTGCAAAAGATATTACGTACACGAAGTATAAACAAGGAGAAAGCAAGTGCATTTATGATACTGCAGCCAGACTTAAAGCTAGTTGGGACTCATATGGAGTGGAAATTATTTTATTTAAATTTAGTTGATTGAATCGTGGCAAAACAGTTGCGCCAGGGATTTGTTCCTTTAAAGGTGCATTACAAATGGACCAAACAACTAATTTCCAATTTGGGTGACAGTATGATATAGTTAATGCTAGTTTACACATCATGTTACAAAGAAATATACAAAGTTAATTTCTCATATATTATAATTAGCATTTTTGTAGCATACTTTTAGGATTTACTCTCCAATTATATCATAAACTAAAATATATTGTATGAAGGATAGTTCGCACATCATGTTGTAGTCATATGTAAATTTATTTTTTATATTTATATTTAGAACTTTTAGAGCGTACTTTTAGGCAATACTTAATCCATTGTGCTAAATTTATATATTTAAGGATCCAAAAACATATTATTAGAGTCACATGTAAAGTAAACTTGTATTTATATTAATTTAATACCGTAAAAAGGTTCTTTTTATATTAAAAATTGTTGTGAGCGTCTAGAAGTAGACTACACAAATGTTAACAATAATTGTGGAATAATAATTAGACATGTGACTCTAATATCATGAGTAATTTAGTCTTTAGCGTGCAAAATTGTAGGGGATGACAATAAGTATGCTTTAAAAATGCTAAATAAAAGCAAGAAAAAGTTACTTTATATATGACAACAACAGGATATGTAAAAAGACTTTAAATTGTTGCATATATTTTAAAAATTCCTTTTCAATAAACTGCAGAAATATAAGATCTTCTTTTCAAAATAGCTCCCTAAATTATGCTTTAAATTAACTTAATTTTCCTAGACATATATGTACATATAACATTTTCAATATTCGTTGCACTTACCTTGCGAGCAATCCGGTCCGGTCCAGTGACGTTCACATACACATTGGCCAGTTTCTAAATCATAAGTACCATGCTCCGAGCAGCCCGGCAAACATTGATAAACCTGCTGATCAATGGTGCCACAATCTTCACCTTGCCAGCCGGCCTTACAATAGCACTGGCCAGCCACACATGTACCATGACTTGAACACAAAGGATCCAGGCAATCATCTACAGAAACGCAAGTGGATGGGTTAACGGGCGAAGAGGCAAATATGTTAGACAGCAACATACATAGAGGGATGGAGTGAAACGAGAAAATAAGAAAGGAAAACATTTGTGTTATTAGCAGGGAGAAAATATACAGTGACAAAAAAAGGATATCTGCATAAGCTTAGCACTGGCAGAGTCAGAAAACTAATATTAGCATGTTTAACACGTTTGCAGAAGGTCATTAGAAAACCAAAGTTGGAATGACCAACAAATAGCTTGAACAGATTGTTAGTTAGTTTCGTATGCTACAACATATGTTGGCAACAATTTTCGCTCTCTCTCTCTCATACAACAACAAAAACAAAACTCATGCTCGGGCTGCAAAATTTCTTTTAGGAAAATCCAGCAATTGTTAAATGTTTGTCTTAAGGACAATTTTTGCCAAGTCACAGCAACACAAAAAGAAATTCGTTTCCTACTTTCCTGACCTCCGGCGGAATAAGGGGGAGGATGGCGACAGCCATCCGGGAGCCACCAGTTATGCTAGCTTAAATTCATTTGTTTGTAAATAGTTTGCTTTTACTTACGTTGATCACAAAAAGGTCCCTTCCAACCACGTTCACAGTGGCATTCACCTTCAATGCAACGGCCATGACTCGAGCAATTCGGCACTTCACATTCACCCACCGGGATATCGCATTCAGAACCTTTCCAGCCCTCCTCACAGTGGCACACACCGCCACCATAGTGGCCATGGGCTGAGCACAATACTGGACAAACGCCTGTGAAGAAAGAAAAAAACAAAAAAAAAAACAAACGAAAGAAAAGGGAAGGATTTAGTTTATGTGTTTGTTTGTTTGTATGATTTCATTTTTTCGTAAAGTGCAAAAAATAACAAAAATAAACCCCACACACAAAAACAAAAACAATAAGAAAAACTCCACTCAAGTAAAGAACACACAAAAAAACAAAGTTATTGTAAGTAACACTGGTTGTCGTCAAGCGTTCAGGATATTCTGGCCAGTCGTCCAACTATAAAATGGATATTTGTTGTACAGGTGTATGAACATACACTTCTGTGTGTGTGTGTGCATCTTGTATGTGTGCAATATATTGTTGCAAGAAATTTGTTGAAAACAACATTATTTTTTTCTGTTTTTTGTTTGTTTGTTTGCTTTCTTTGTTTTTTTTTTTTTCGGAAAAACTATAGTTTTTCTGTTGAAGAAAAACAGGTGACGTTGACAGCTTTTGTTTATTTTTTCAATGTTTTTTTCCTACGTCTTTGGCGCTTTTCTTATAGTCCAGCTACCTGGCATTTGGAAAGGTGATAAATAATGACTTCAAATTTTATTACAATAAGTAAATATACAACTGTTAACTTTGCCCCTGAGAGTATACTATGGTTTTTTTCCTCTCTAACTCTTTGTAAGCCATAAAAGAGACTTTAAATTTCTTACGAATAAAGAACAATTGCTCGGATTTTAATTGTAATTGAATGACAATAATTAACGTTGATTATAATCGTTGTTAGACTGGGGGGTGTGGGGGCTATAATATTATTTTTATGGTGCTCGTTGTTAATTTTTATCGTTAACTTTTATATTGTGTCAATTAATTGAGGGATTATGGGCAATGTCTTAAAGTAGACGGACTAATGAAAAGAAGGATGAATAAATTATAGGGAAATCGGATGTGGAGAAAATGTAAACTTTTTATACCCTCAACGATATTTATTCTTGATCTGTTGAAAACAAGACAGAGACAGGGATTTTTATACCCTACACCGTCCGTCTGTGGAAATCACTCTGGCTTCTGAACGAAATGAAATAGGTCGATAAAACTTAACTCAAATGTGTCTTAGGTATCCAGAACATTTGGAATTGAAAACGGCCTATATGGGTCCGCGTTTAGGTATATCCCCCATACAACTGTACCGACAGATTTTAAGGTTTTTTGGATGTTTAAGTCACTAATTGAAACTGAATTTGGTGTAAATTTCTAGCAAGTCTTCTCATTTTGAAAAAAAAACATCCATCTATAGAACTGCCAAATATAAGTCTAATTTTTGGTATTATTACCATATAACGGTACCTCCCTATATTCCGTATTTTGATGATTTTAGCGACATTATTCACTGGAATTTTTTGACATTTCGTATTTCAGGTTCTTAATGTATATTACCATCTGTGACAGAAAAATAGCCTATACAAGTTCAGGTCTTCGTATAGTCCCCACATAATGGAACCTAACGGAACCTATATTTGGTTTTTGATGATTTTAGCTACATTATTCACCGGACTTGTTTCAAATTTCATATTTGAATATCGTAACTGCCTAGGACAAAAATTTAATATACATGTCCATGTCTTCGTTTAGGCCCCAAAAGTTGATTTTATGCCCAAAGTGGTTCTTATTGAAAAAAATTGCGTATGGACCACATGAAATTCGGCATTTTAATTTTTTTCTCTTAAAAATACTGAATAATGTCACCTATGGTGACCTATGAACAGGTTTTCAATATCGATTCACATTTTTTATGCCCGAAACGGAAAAAATTGAGATGATTGTGATGGTCATGTCCATATCTTCCAGCCGAAAAGGCTACAATTGGATATTTTAAAATTTTAATAAATAGAAAAAAATTTTTGGCTTCATTTAGATTCAGGTTATTGAACGGTCGCCAGTTATTGACATTTTTTTGTAAAGAATCAGGGAAATTTTGTTATTTTAGATTCATAACCAGCAAAAAGAAGTAGACAGTTTCGAACTTTTCGGGATACTATAAGTAATCCTTTGCAGAAAGATCGATGTATTTTGGCTGCTTTTTTAATAAATCTATTCTAATACACACATATACAAAATAACGCCTGAGAGTATACTATATATATTTAAAAGCAATATTAAGTTTTCAGTGTCCTTATAACATGATGAGTTCTTTTCTAAATTTTAAGAGATACGAAAATATCCTCTGTTGACTGGTTTTTTAATTAAATCTACTCTAATGTTGACTTATACAAAAATGACGCCCAAAAGTATACTTTATATTTTAAAAATCAACAAATTGTAATAAATTCTCGGATTTTTTTGAAGGTAGTATAATTGACTTAAAGAAATTGCATAAATTATTTCCATATTGCTAACACGAGACGGCCTATCTAATATTCTTTATTAATATTTTGTTTATAATTACGCTCTAATGTCCACATACAAAATGACGCCTAAATATATACTACAGATATTGAAAAATAACAAATTGGGATGTTAGACTAATAAAAGATTACTCAAAAAAGCTGCCTCAGCAATTTAAGTGGTTTTGGCCATGTTGGCCCTTTCGTCTATACATTAGCTGGACAAAAAATTAGATAAAAATATTTTGTTCTAATTTTGTTTTTTTTTTTTTTTAATAAAAAATTCTTAAGTTATCATCGATTAAAAATAAGAAACTCTCATTAAGTTGGTAAAAACCAAAAATAAAATTTAAATTTCGATTGGGAACAACCAAGGAAGCGTTAGTCCAACTTTTGCGATTTCAAAAAAAAAGCCTAAATTGTTTTCAAAATGTATTTCTGTGAAAGTCTCTTTAAAGTTGAATTTTTTATAAAAACAACAATAAAGGGATAAAGCCAGACCATTTTGCAACAACAAAATACTACGGTGTCCCGAACAAAGAAGCCACACTGTTCTGTTGAATTTTCTAAAAAAAAATTATATTTTTGTTTGTCCGAAATTTTCCATAGCCCATTATTGGTTATCTTTACCCCACGATTAAGATTAACCTCATCTCCTTTCGAAAAAATATGGCCAATAATAAATTTATCTTAGGTTTTGTACTTTTATCTGTTTCTACTTACTTTTCGAACAGTCAACACCCTGATAGCCATCAATGCAATCGCATTTACCCAAATAGCAACTGCCACGGCCGGAACAATCATTGGGGCAAGTGGTGCTAACGCCCTCGGCTTCTTCGACAATCAACGTTACCGAATGCGAGACCAATTCATCATTGTAAACGGATATAAACCATAAGCCGGTGTCCAAATATTGTAAAAGTGAGACATTCACCATCATTGTGTCCATATCCAATGCCGGCAGACCACCATCCATGCCGGCCGCGGAACGTTTATCACGATGCTGGCGATATCTTAAACGTTGGGCATATTGTTTACCCGTGTCCAGCGGTGTTTCCACATCTCCCGCATATTCAAATGACGATGAGGACGATTCAAATGAATCGTCGTCGTCGTTGTCATTGTCATCATCATCATAGCCATTCTCATTGGAATCGAAACCATTGCCGCCATCATCATTAAAGTAATGTCGCCTTGGCGCTGACAAACGTTGCAATTGTTCTGCGGATGTTTCCATTGACAAATCACCGTTCTCATTCTCCAGATCCTTGTGCCGAGCAGCATAAATGCTATCATTTGCCGCGGACCGAACACTGCGTCGATGCCTTAAATGACTATCGACACGACCGCCTTTGATAAATTCAACAAAATCATATTGTGTTACAGATGGTGCCACATTGCGACGCGAATAAACGGCGAAATTTGCCCCCCAGGGCAGGGTGAAATTGAAGCGCACAAAAGCGGGATGTTTGTTACGGAATTCCAGTGTCCAGAATTGATATGCCGGAATATTTGCATGATACAATTCGTTGAAATCCTTTAGCTCGACTACCTGTGGCCACTTCAAGAGGGGTTGATGATGCTGCTGCTGTTGTTGCTGAGCGGTGTACGATTGGTCCTGCAGATGCGGCAAGGTGGCATCTTGACCCAACATTATGTTGCTGTTAATGCCCAGCCCGCCACCAATTTGCTGATTGATGGAGTGCGGTTGCTGTTGCTGCAGCAAGAGCTGTTGTTGGTGTTGCAACTGCAACGAGGGAGCCAAATTCTGGAAACCGCCCGCAATGCCGCCCAAACCAATGCTGGAACTATGATCGAGGGTACTGGTCTGTATTGATTCTTCTGTGGGATATGCCGTTGGTTGTAGACTATTGCCGTTGAGGATGTTTGTTTTTGCATTGCCGTGTAAATCATGGGGCTGTGATTTAACATCTTGGACTAGGATACAATTTGTGGTATCCATGTTGGGTTTCATAGAGCTTACAGCTGTAATGAAAAAAAAGAGAGGAAAGGAAAAATATTAGTATTAATTCAGCTGAGAGAAAAACAATGTTAAAAATGTGTGTGTATCTCTGGGCATTATGGAAATTTTAAAATATATTATCGAAATACCAAAAAATCTGCTGATTTTGCACAAAAATCGCTCACATTAACATATGCTAATGTCCATACATGTATCTTCACTCACACACACATTCAACTATATGGATGTACTATGTAAACTGTAAAAACCAGAAGTTTAACAATAAATCTTAATGTTAGTGGTAAGCACAATGGCAAATTGCATACTAAAACTATCCCCCCCAAAAAAGTATGCAATAGAACGTGCACCACAAAATAGGCAGTGCTTTTGTGGTGCAATAATTTCTACCACAAAACTTTGCCCAACTTTGCCAATAAATGCTAAATGCATTCAATGGACAAAAAACGAAAAAAAACTCAAACTATGAATGGAAAAAGAAATCTTCAAAAGTCACAGACTGTTAAATTTTTTTGTATGAGCGTGAGGCAGTGAGTGTTTCCTCTTCTGTCCCTTCAATATTTTTTTCTCCCTTTGGAAAAGCAATAACCAAATTGTCGAAACGTGTTCCTTTTTCCTTTGTTCTTATTCCCTTTTAGCATAAATCATCATATTGCGGACATGTTTTAGCCAGTTATCGATATGATGTTTTTTTTTCTTCTTACATTTTGCTTGCCCTTGTAGTTTTGAGATATTATTTTGCATACCCTACATTATGCAAAGGAAATTCAGTTGAATTTACCACTACTACACATAATCTCATGAATTTGACAGTAAATAAAAAATAAAGAAACGAATAGAAAATTTATAAAAAAAAACTTTCAGGTTCTAAAAAGTCAGATCGGAGTTTTCAATAAATATCCCAATGGCTGTTAACTGACTGGAAATGAATCCAAATAGCAGTTTTGTTCAATTAAGGTTAAAATACGACGATAAAAATACCATCGCATCAAGAGCGCTAATTTATAGAGGAGAGGCACCTAACGGTATGCATACATTTCAGCTTTTGCTTAAGAAATCTCCTCTTTTAAACATATTGAACATGAAACTAAGGCATAGGCATAAAATGATGAGAAAAATTCTAGCACTTCCATGGTGTTGATGCATACAGAGGAAACGCCTAAAAGTATGCACATATTTGAATTGAAATGTGTCGATTAATACATAGCCCAATTTCTAAGCTTTTAAAGAGGTTCAATACATAATTCATTGAATAAGCAATGGTTATAAATTTCTGAGAACTTTGTTGTTATAATTAAAGGGTGATTTTTTAAGAGCCATATAAAAGTTTTAAAATACACGATAAAAAGTGTCAGTCGGTTTTGCCTACTGGTGTATGCCATAAGCCAATGCCGATTTATTTAAAGATATGATTATTCAAAATGTTGAGCCATTATGGGGGCGGGTTCTAAAGGAGTGAGCCAATTTGTCCATTTTGTATCTGTAAATATAATTATTGCTACGTACCAGATTTGGACTTTATCGACTACTTCCTTTACTGCATATGAAAGATGTGATAATTTTGGGAAAATATTGAAAATTGGGTGAGGTACCAGATATATTCGACCGAAGTGTTGCACCTCATTCAATACTGAAAAAAATCTGGGTGACCAAATTTTAAAGAAAGTCGAACATTCCTCTCCTTTTTCATGCGAATTGTTGTTAATTAAATTTTTTGTTTGTCGTGGGCGGGTGTCTGAAGGAGTAGGCCTATCAAATCCATATACACATCAGATCTCTGATAAGGAAAAATAATTAGATATACCGAGTTTCAAAAGAATCGTTGACTTGTTTCGCAAGCTATGAGGCATACATTAGGAGAGTGTTAAAATTTGTAACCCTTTGTGGGACAGGTACCAGAAGAGGTGGGTCGGTATCTATAATTTTCACACCAGTTCTTATGTTAGTTAAAAAAAAATTTATTTTTGAAATTGGGGGAAAATCTGATGGTCTTTCCCCATTTTATGGGCGTTTTGGCTATTCAAAATATTGACCTTTTATGGGTGAAGTATCAGAAGGAGTAGGCCGAGGGGGTTGTGTGGTTGAAGATAATCTGACACTTATTTCGCCTTTTATGCCTTTTTTGGCCGTTCAATTTCTTGACCCTCTGTGGTGGGGGTATTTGATGAAGTGGACTGATACATCCCATCTTCACACCATATCTGGTATTATCAAAAATATTGCGAAGCATGAAATTTGAAGGGAATCTGATACTTCGTTCGGATTTTAAGATATAATTATTCAAAATGTTGACCCTTTGTGGGAAAGGTACCACAAGGAGTGGTCCGACGCATTGCATCTCCACACCTGATTTTTTGTTAATAGAAATATTGAAATGTGTAAAGTTTGAAGTGAATCTGTTACTTGTTTCTCATTTTATGAGCTTTGTGGATATTCAAAATTTTTGGTCCGACATTATCTATTTTCACATTTTATCTAGCACTGATAGAAAATATTAGTATTTGCAAAATTTCTAGACAAATGGATGATCCCTTTCTGTTCTATGAGGTAAATTATTTACTATGAAATGTTTGACCTTTCGTGCGGGTGGTACCAAAATGAGTGGACCGATATTGCTCATCTCCAAATTCGACCTTAGTTAAATAATAAAATTACAATGTACCAAGTTTTGAGCAAATCGTAAAATATTTTCGAGAGTTATTGTGCACACCAACCAGTTAGCCAGATAGAGGCATGGACGGGCACCTCTAGATCGACTCCAAATATCCTGAGGGAATAATAATACATACAACTCAAATTAAAGTCGATATAATTTAAAGTTTGAGGATTATTTCATGCAAATGTTGACTGAGACTGCACCTCAAATGGTCTATCTGCATAGTCTAATTTTGGCACAGTCATTTCAACACATCGGCCAACTTTCCAAGAGCCCATTCACCAAAAATTCTGGTTTGCGGTAAAAATTTGTCACGTTATTGAGTAACGGAGCCCAATTGCTGCGAAACGATCCTTGATGGTCATCATTAAAACTGGCCGATACAGCTGCAATATCTTTTTTCAGATCGCGCGTAAGCATGTGGGTAATGGAAAAATCATGTTTAGAATTCTTCTCAAAAACTCAGAGTGGGTTTATGGTATGTGACCTAACCTCCTTGGATGTAATTTTGAATATTTGGTTTTCATTTGAGCCTTTTTGAAAATAGCCAATTTAGGACTATTCGCAAATATTTGAAATTAAGACGTTCCAATTTGGTCTTTTACAAAATTTATTTACCATAAAACCACCGAATATTTACCACAAACATTCCGTCAAATATAGTGTATTCACATTCGATTATAACGTCAATTATCATTTTGAATTATCCGTTCTTATCTCGATATATTCTTGCCAGAATACTAAGACAAAATAAAATTTATGGTTCATAAATGTCCTCCAGTATCATTTGCATATTTCTAAATAATATTTTATTTATTCCATTCTACTTTTATTTTAAATTAGTCGAAAAATATTTTTTATTATTGGAATTTAAAATTCTGTTATATCAAATCCCGCATTCAATTCAATTCCCCCAATGTAGGGCATCTCATATTGAACACTGTCAAAAACACAATGCCTTTTTTACATAAATTATAATGGGCATTTTATCATATTTCTTTTTTTTTTCTCGGATTTTTGAAATAGTTTGCATTTTCTCCGAACATTTATTCTTGTCGAGTGTTGCAGTCATTTCTAACGCAGCAAAATTTTTGGAGGTTTCATTTCCATTTTATTTTTCCATTGCGCATAATTTATTAGGAGAAGCGTAAAACTAAACGTTTAACTTGGAAACTAAGAGTAAAGTTTTTTTCGGTCGAAGCAACTCTTGACCTGGTATAATCGATACGATTGTTATTTATTTGAATATTTGTTTCAGATGAAAGACAGTATGGTATATCTGCTGGGTGGGTATGTAGGTAGTTTATCCACACCAAGATCTTGGAAAAAAATTCTTTTTTTTTTTGGAGAATGAAAACAAAACAAATTTATGACTGTTTTTCACAAAAACGCCCTTTTTGCCACAAAAGAAGACAACTGAAAATGCGTTTCATTTCGTTGGGCTAAGGATATTTGCTTCGTTTTTTAGATGCGAGAGGGAGAGAGAGGCCCAGTCTGTTTGTCTGCCCGTCTGTTGGGTGTTCACGTTTCATTCGTTTGTTATTCTTTTATTGTTTTTGGGTTAAACGGAAGTGTGTCAAAAGTTGAATATTTATTCATTTTTCCCAACGCAGTTGTTGTTATTGTTATTTTGATTTAGTTTTGGCTTGCCTCGCTGTGTGTTCTCTTTTGTTTTGTTTCTTTGCCTCTTTGTTGTAGGCCATGTTTTTCGCGCAGTTTTTCAATTTTGTTTTTGGTTTTTGATTGTTTTTCGGGGTTAATGTTTTATTAAAACCAATATTTGTTTGCTCAAATGAAAAATTTCACTTTTCTTGTGTGTGTAGCTGTGTGTGTGTTTAAAAGAGAACTGCAAAAAATACAACGGTTATAAATCTTGTTTTAATTGAAAACGCATATATGTGGAAATATTGTTGCCACTGCTGATGTTGTCAAAATGCCTGAAAATGTTAATTAATCAAATGGATTTGTTTGCAAATGAAATTATATTTAATTAAATTTGCCGTAGGACAAACAAAAAATACTCAACTTGACAATGCATGGGAATATAACAAATGTACATTTGATGAACAGAAATGTGTGTGAGAGAGTGATTTTCAAAATTGTAGACGGTTTTAGTTTGAAATAAAGGTAAGAGAATATTAGATATTATATGAACGGAAGGGATATAAACTTCTCCTAGGACAATTACATATGTCAATTTAATTATTTAAATTTTGAATTTTTAAGGAACATTTTTCACCACGGTGGGTAGTTTTCCGGAATGAAAATTATAATTAAGAGAAAATTAAAAAATAATTGAAAACCGGTGATCATTTTTTTTTTAAAGAAGGAATTCACTGGTAGAATATA